TTGGCTAGAATGATTAGGGATCCAGTTAAAAGATTAGTTGTCAGTATGATTATGATATGGATTGGTTGGCTAGAAATGTGCTTTTCCTCTTTGAAATGTGTTAGATTACAATTTAAAGTCCGTGTTCTCTGCACTAGTAGAGGTCTGCAATCTGTGAATGCGTGCTAGTTATTATCATTCCTTTATTTTCATATTATCACAGATATGACTGCCTCATCACCATCGTTACTACTATAATTTTTTCATCGCTCTCGTCATCATTATGATTATTAACATTTGTATTGCACCATTATCATTATTTTTGTTCCATAATTATCCCTATCATAGAATTCATAATTACATGATTATTACTGCAATCAAAATCACATTTCATGTTTTTATTATTATCATCATTATGAACAGTGATATTAAGGTTATTAAATATTATCGTTGACCTCAAAAGGTCATAATTAATTTTCATTGCATTCATATTTGATGATACTGATATTGCTATTGTTACTCCTATTTCAGATGATAATGCTGGCATTTTTATCGGTATTATTATATTCAGCATTGCTATTATCTGCATCCCCCAGTTCCCTCCTCGTTGTCATCGGGAGGCTTAGGAGATGGAGACTGAGGCTCAATGTAGGGAATCGCACCGTACCTTAAGCCTCAGCCTTCGGCTCAACTAATTTTGCATGGTCTTTTCTTCTCCCCCTTTCCTCTTCTGTATCTTCTTCGTCCTCTTCTTGTCACATTCCCAAGGCGTGAGATCCGTGCTGAATGGATGAAAGGCTGGCTTTGTGCCAGTCATGAACGGCCTCTGGAAACCATAGGCACGGTATTCTCTTGGTTAATGGCCTAGTCCTCACCCCTTGTGGGGATTCATTTTATTCAGGCACAACATGGCCAAAAATGAAGATTCTTTAACCTTATTTAGGGTATTATGGCTTGCCCCTTCATCAACTAGCTCATCTAAATTTTATTTCATTGGTTTTCCGGCCCATGCCCCTCCTTTGACCACGGCTCTGACCACTGTTACTAATACTTCCTCCTCGACGTTTACTGACAACTCTATCCATTTCGAACCACCCACCTTCAGAATCCACCTCGTTTTCTCTCCCCACATTTTCCACTCCATCTCCTTCAATGTGATGACCGTTCAAATTGCCCTGCTTAGTCACGTACATGTGCCAATTGTGGTGGCTCCCATAATGTATTTTATAGTAGCTGCCCTGCCCATAAGCTCGGATGTGAGGTAGCAGTTCTGAAATTCAAGTTAGGCCTCACTCTACGTGAGGTCAGACAGGAAGCTAGGCGACGAGGTTTTTCTCTTTCTATTTATTCCATAAATTGTCCTTCACTCTGCTCCTTTCTCATCTTCTCAAGATGTCTCAACTTCGCCCACAGTTTCTCTTCCCTCTACCTCGAACCAGTCTACCCATACTCCCCCTCTCCCCCCAATCAAATTCCTTTGCCAGACTAAGTCCAGATACTCCAATATCTACCACTTCCTCGATACCTGCCCCACCTCCTCACTTTATCAGCATTATGCTCTCCTACACTTTCCTCCTCTCCTCAGATGTCTATCCGATCTTCTCCGCACAAGAGAACCTTTCTTTCTCAATCCTCTTCACCCAGTTCCCTCTGGAAAATCTTGAAGACATCCAAAACTTCCCAGAGATGACCCAAGGAAACACTCTGCTCCCTCATTCACCTTCCAATCCATCTGTGGCCACTCCCTCTACAGTTAAAGTATTTGAAGATATATCCTCCCCTTCAAGTTCCCCCCACCCCCTTCCTCCTACACTCTCCTAACACACCTGTCTTCTCTACCACTCCCACTCTGCTCACCCAAATCCCTTTTGTCACAAGTGTCCTTCTCCAGACCCCTCCCCTCCTAACGCTTTCTGATACTCCACCACCTTCACCAGTCCCCCTTCTTATCCTCCGGTTTCTTATCCTCCTGTTTTCCTTGACCAATGCCCCTATTCCCTCCGTAGTCACAGATACACTGTATCACTCAATCGCCCTACCCCTTAACCCTTCCTTTTTTACTAATCTCTGCTCTACTTCATTTGCTCCCATCTTTTCCCTTTTTACTAGTCATACTATTCTATAACGTTCTCCAATATTTGACAACTAATATATTTTATCCGTCTTCAACAATTCTTTACCCTTGTTGCGACAATACTTTACCATAGTGCTATATGACTTTTAATGTCTGGCACATTTACCATTTATTATCTGTATTATCCTTCATTTGTACTGGCAACATGTACATTTTCATTATATTTGTTAACCGTAACCAGTATCATTATCATCATTACAAGTTAACCGTACATTATCATCATTACAAGTATCTGTTATGTATCATTATCATCATTACAAGTATCTGTTAACCGTAATAGTATCATTATCATCATTACAAGTATCTGTTAACCGTAACCAGTATCATTATCATCATTACAAGTATCTAATTATCGACACTACTAATATACAGCGCTCATACAGTTACAAGTTGTGGTTCGGGCTGCGAGTCCCCAGAGATCGGAAGAGCTTCGCGCTCATATATCACATTACTAGCTAATTATCGACTACTAATATACAGCGCTCATACAGTTACAAGTTGTGGTTCGGGCTGCGAGTCCCCAGCACTTGGCTCCTCTCCTTTCCCCGCTCGGGCAATACCTGGACCCGTTACCTGCTGGAGGCTGCTACGGGCGTCGTCACTGGCTCTGTTTACCATTCCAAGTATCTTAAGGGTTTAGGTATTACGGATCGCCATTGTTTGATGTGATCATGTTTAAGATATTTTTTTGAGACATGCGGATAAATGTTTCCCTCTTTTTTCTCTTTCTTCTTGTTTGTTGTTTTCTTTTCTTTTATTTTATTTTATCATTTATGAGGACGAGCCTGAAAATGTCTCAACTTGACAGGTTATATGGGCGAGGACGACCCTCTGTGGTGGCGAACTTCCCTCGTCATCAAGACTCATTCACTCCTTCCGCTTCGCATCCACCCAGACTACCCTGTCATAGCTATCATCAGGAACCCCGCCAGGTATCTGTATCAGGAAGGGTATACTTCCTCCGTTGACTCGCCTTCATATTGAAATCTTGTTTTTACTATGCCTGCATTTTTGTGGTCTTTATTTCTTACTTATGCAGACAACTTCCGGGTACATAGCTATTTAAAAAAAAAAAACATGTACTAGGTTAGAGCAATGACAAATATGTATTAATTCAGCCATGTTGAATGCTGTTCATCAAAGAATTACACATGCAAATTAGCATTGGTAATTTTGGTTATGTTTGATTTCCGTAGTTTATTCCAAATGCTAACTTCGATAATCAGTCGACACGGCCATGATTACGACTAAAAGTCACGCAAAGTTGGGGTTACAAAAATAGCATGGCTCTGTTATTTTAAACGTGAAATATGTAAAGTATATTAAGCAGTACTTTAATCAAGAATAATCAGGGCATGAAAACCAATATGAGAACAACACCAAAGTATTTTCTAGTCTTGATTTAATAAAAATTATGTAGACCTTTTTGCAAATTCAGATCGCGTAATGCCATGCCTTCCACAACTTTGGTACTGCAAAATAATTGTATACACTGTAATAAGTACCAGCTGTTTTATTTCAGTTTGCTGGAGCCCGTTGTTCAAAGTTTTGATATGCCCAGTGATAGATGCTACGGCGTATTGCATATGAATTTACGAAAGGGACAAAGCATTGCCAGATCTATATTATTCTTTAATGGACTGATCAACTCTGATTCCTCAATACTGAAAGATATAGAGCATGATAATCAGCGGCTAACAGTACGATAGTGTGGTATGATTAAAAGGAAATTGGTAACTTCTGAGAGGGCCTTATAAGGATTTGTATTTGTTGGGCTACGAGTCAAAGAAAACGATGAGTGCTTGTTGAGGGATATGGCATAGAAAACGGGGGTGCCGACGGACCGGTGAGTAGCCATTGGCCAGCGCCGCGATGGAATAACTTCTGGCGTTGAAGAGGTGGTGGTCACTTGCTTTGGGAACTCCTGTTGGTCAGTCGCCGCGTTTTGTGAGTCGTTATAACAGAATGATGGGAGGGGGGGGATGGAGTGTTGTTTTCTTGTTCACGGCAACGGTGGGGAATTGTTGATTTGGTTTGTTTTACGGGTCTTTCTCAGCATTTGATCTCTTGTTTGCTGTCGGGCACAGTAAGTGATCCTAGTACGAGGAAAGAAAATTTTATTTGTCTATATTGTATTACACAACTACGGAGAAGAGGCGTCTCCTAAGATGTACGTCGTTACTACAAACCGTTCATATCTAGCGCTATGGCATTTATAAGAAGTGTTCATATTGGCAATGTATTACGATTGACCCATCATTTTTTTTATTTTTTTATTTTTTATTATTAAATGAAGATATCAACCCACACTAGCAGTCCTCTAGCTGTTATCAGAAGCACAGCCAATGATGGAGGCATTACCAAGTGTCAAGACAACTAATCTGCATTTAGATGTTGAATACATATGTCACGCTGGAAGAGTCAACTGGATGTGCAGGATTATTCTCAAGGAATCAAATTTATTGTCTAAGTAGTCAGTATGCTGAAAATAACACATCCCAAAGAAGTCTCTTGGTAAACCCATTGACTGGAAACATATCCCTTGACTGGACATATATCCCTGCCTACTGTGTTACATGATCCAACTCAAGGAGTTCTTGCAAAGGGTATCAGGATATGACCTCATGGCTTAAGATATTCAAGGTTCTGCTGTTGTATAACAAAACTAACAGTGTCAAGGACCCTGGTCCTTGAATACAGGTACCAGGTTCTCCAGAACCTGGTACCTTTATTCATGGTCATGAATCCTCCTGCAGGCTAACCCATTTGTTGACTTCCTAGTCCAACAGCCCAGAATTCTGAGCTACACTTTCAAAGCATGTAAAGCTCTACTGAACTTCAATATCCCTGCCTTCAGTCCACACTAACAAATCAAGATTTTATAGCAGCGCAAAATATCAGGTTTTGGTCCACAAGACCTCAAAACCCAAGGGTTCTCCTCTACTGATAAATTCATAGAGAGTTCTTACCAAATAATCAAGCGATGTGGTAGGCACATGCCAAATGACATATAGCCTCAATCCATATAACCTTCATTTGCAATGCTAGTATCTACAGGTACAATAGGTTAACATGTGGTAGGCACATGCCAAATGACATATAGCCTCAATCCATATAACCTTCATTTGCAATGCTAGTATATAGCCATGATATTGATCTAGGAATCCTTGTTATTAGATCTTTAGTGATTACTCATTCACTGAAGCAAATGCCATCTCAAGCTTAATGTACACAAACAGTCCAGAACCAAACTCCCAGTAGTGCAGTGACTGAAAGGGTCGTTCCATGCCTCTCCTAAGATACACTAATTATCAATAGAATTCCAGATCTCCCAATGAATTTATTTATGCAGCACAGTACCATGACTCTTGAAATTGTCTGATAAACTCATGAGCTGCATTGGTGGTATCCCACAGTACTACTGCATCTGATGTCAAGTACAGAGTCAATTTGAGATGGGCAGTTTGTCACCAGACAGATTGGAAGTTGAAGAGTGAATTTGGAGGAACCTCTGAGTCTACTCAGCAAGATGTGGTCAATTCTTTTGGTTATTTTACCTACATCACAGGATCAGGTCCAGTAATACAGGTCAGAATACTATCAATCTCAGTAATTCCCAAAAGAAATTGTTGTTATTACTGTCAGCTCCTGAATAATGGAGGCCAACAGACATCTTGTAGCTTGCTCGACTGTAATACAGTACCAAAATAATTCAGTCCAATAGAAATTTCAATTGCTTTTCATCTCAGAAGTGACTCTTCTTCTCTTCTAATAAGTTAATATGACAATCTATAGAAATTCTATGCAATTTCTATAGTTGCCTCTACTCATAGGGCTGCTGACTGGTTTAACCGCCCAATTGTGCCAGTTTTTATGAATGTGCAGAAATAAAATATTTGATTTCTGAAGAGGAAGCCTTTATAAGATACATCAACTTTTTGCACCCTCCATTGACAGTACAGTATAGCCATAGACCTTGGGCACAAATTCATGCCTCCCATGGTGAAGATCATCGATCCCAAGACTTTTAATGGGCTTCTTTTAGACACAATGACCACTGGTTTGTTGCTTCCCTACCAACCTGCTGGATTAATGTAACTGGGTTGACATTGATGCACACTTGGTGTTGTGATACCATTTAGATAAAAAAGTACCTTGTATCTACTTCAGCAAGTTTTACTACAGCTCACCCAACTTATGAACTCTACCACACCCAGCTTTACCTTATCAGGTTATACCTACTTTGCCTGTTCATTTCCCTTTTACCTCATTCATAAAAGTTCAGAACCATGTGTTTTTAAACTTAATATAAATATAATTCTATAACATTAGGATACTGCATTCGTCTGTCATCTTAGTGTACGGCATTTACCAAGAAGAGGTCTTGACGCTATTAATAAGATGTCAGTGCTGGCTTTTGGATAATGCAATGGGATCTTTTGCTAGGGGAGCATACAGATCGGGCAAGTATTAGTAGTCAGTGATCAAGACCAAAATATCTCTGCAAAAGATGGATATGCTTGAAAATGTTAATCCATGGCCGGTTTGTTAAAATTGAGCGAGGCCCGACCTAAAGAATGTTCGTAAACTTGACATGCATAATTAAAGAAATATATGCATATTTATCAGTCTAGACACACATCAACCAAACAAATCGATAGATGAATGTATATCTATCAGATATATAGACATACGTATTTATTTCTGTGTATATGCATGTCAGTATTTATGAATATTCATTGGGTCAAGCCTTGCACAATTTTAACAAACCGGTCGCAGTCTCTAGTTTATTTAAGAGATCTTGGTAAGGAGTGATACTTTCTTTGGAAATTCTCCAGGGAAACTGCAAGCTTGGTTTCATATGTTCCTTTAATCCATGAGGTTTGGGACAATAGCTACAATATTTGCAAAGATGGATGTATCAAAACATGTGATAATGGAATACTATTCCCACTTCTGTAAAATGTGTTACAAAGCAAATCCTATTGTCCTTGGTGACAGAAGACAATTTGTGGATTTTCAAGTCTTGTTTTGCACACAAAGTGTAGGTTCACTGCAGATGAGCACCAATTAAGTTGTGTAAGTCCTTGGTTTCATGGACACCAATGTGAGACCTTTGTTGGTCACACAAAAGTTGCAAAGAACCGGAAGAGTGTAGTGCAGTTCCAAACGTGGACAGAGGTGATGTGACAAGGCACTACCATTAACTTTGATAAGTGGATATAACTGATAACTTCTGAGGAAGAGATTCATCCACAACACTTTGAACTACAGCATCAACTTCAGTTATCTAAATGTGTATATTCTCCTCCTACAGGAGTGCAAATGCAAATAGTTTCATATATAATATCAGTGTTGGGCAAGAAAATATAAAGACACCAGTACATATTTATATCACATTATTTCAATTATATTCTTGACAAGCAGGCATACATTAACTAACAAAACAAAAAAATTAAAAAATAATAAAAAATAAAAAAATAATAAATAAATAAATAAATCTCTTGTGTGCATGTGCATACTTTGAAGGGTACATTAATAACCAGTGTAGTTGTAAACATAATTTTGCCATGATTGATATATGTAAAGTGCTTCCTTTCTCCACTTTAGAAAACTTGATATACAAGTATGAAGCTATTAGTAGGCATGATTATCTTCATACAAAAATATTTGTTATATGACAAGAACTTTAAATAAATAGTTACTAGAGTATTTCAAACAAGAAAATTCGATTTACTTGCATAGAAACCAACATAATAAATGAAAATGTAATATATATTTTCTCCTTCAGAGTGCAAATAGTTGGAATAAATTGACTAAAATCTGTCGGGGAAAAATAAATATATATAAAGAAAATATATTTTGATGGCCAAGATATGTAGTGTGTGTGTGTGTGTGTGTGTGTGTGTGTGTGTGTGTGTGTGTGTGTATATATATATATATATATATATATATATATATATATATATATATATATATATCGAATTTTTTCATCTATTCAATGCGTAAATTCTAGAATAGAAGAAGAAACCCCGTAGGAGAGTGTGAATATACATTAGTTTATAGCACAATGAATCAAAACTCGTTATAATTGATGGAATGGAATAAGTATTATATAAGTTTTTCTTCTTTTGTATTTAGTGCATGATATAATATTTCCATGTTTTTTATTTATTTCTCTTTCTAGAATACCAGAAAAATGAAGACTGCTTTTTTCTTTACATATTTTCCCACAGGTCTATCTTGTCCTTTTGGAATTATTGGAATATAGAAGCAGATTCACAAAAATTTACTGGCTCCATTGATTACTCTTATTATTTAACACCAGGTAACTGTTAAATCATTGTAATAATATTCAGATATTGCAGGGATTTTCATGGCTTTCATTTTTTGATCTAGTAATTTTTGCTACAAGTAAATATTTATAACTCACTCTTTGATACTGCAAGAGAAATGTTATTACAATTATCTTAACAAAATATACTATTCTTCTAGAATGTTTGTTCAAATAGAACTCCTCAGTATTGTTTTTCTAAAAAGAAATATTTATATACTTTCAGAATTTCATGAGTTTGCATACTTTCTAAAAAAAAAAAAGTACTACTCAGTATTGTTTTTCTAAAAAGAAATATTTATATACTTTCAGAATTTCATGAGTTTGCATACATTAAACTGCAAAAATGGAGGGCAACATATGAATATGTTCTAAAGAATACAACAAAACTGCATGTGGTATTCTATGAAAAGCTCCGAGAAAGCCCCATTAAGGAGGTTCGTAAGATGTTGAACTTCTTGGGTGTTAAACCAGATGAGGATCGCCTTGCCTGCCTTAGTCGCCATACAGAAGGGAGAGTGAAAGGAGCTCAAAAGGAAAGTGATCCCTACAGTTTGCATGAGAAAATGAACATGTTTTCCGTAGTCCAAGCAATTAATTCTCTCTTAAAAGAAAGAGGATTTACTGACTTACCTGATTATGAATTTTAGAAGTAGGGCCTACTACATTCTGCTCATATAACTTAAAATGGGCACTGTCAGTGGCTGTTAGAAAAAAAGTAGTTAACTAGTTTGTAAGGGCTATTTTTGAATAAATTTCTAGCTTTAAATTATTTTTATTTTTTCTTCCTATATCCTACTAAATAAATTGATTAGGTGTTTAATAATTAACATTTATTGCACAGCATTAAATGAGTATAATGCCAAAGATATTTTTACAGACTAGAAAAAAGCTGGAGTTTTTGCTTTTTCTGGAGTATTTCACTTATTGACAATAGTATCAGTGTTATAGAGGAACATATATATTTATCAGTTAGATATGGCAAATGCTCAGAAAACAACTAGTGTATGTAACTAAATAGAAAATTAATTGTGACATATACTAGCTAAGAGCTAAAAAATATATATATTTTTTTTTCTTGCAAAAAAATATCCTCCTGAAGTAGCAACATATGTCAAAGTGCAGGGTCTTTTACCTATCATTATATTTCACATGTTTAATTGCAGTACTATTATCATCACAAGCTATTTATTAGTCTCAGCACAATATGTAATGATCAAATTAATCGTATTAATTTTGATATTGAATTATTCGAAGTGGACTGTCATAGGTCAAAATATTTTATAGCAAATGCTTGGATGAAAGTTTCAAAATATTCACCTAAGTATTTAAAGTAATCGTATTAATTTTGATATTGAATTATTCGAAGTGGACTGTCATAGGTCAAAATATTTTATAGCAAATGCTTGGATGAAAGTTTCAAAATATTCACTTAGAATATGATCATTCCCTAAAGTTAAATGAACTCCCCTCATTTTTTTCACTGCTCTTTCCCTTTTCTTCTTTACTTCTCGTGCCCTTCCCTTTTTTATTCCTTTCTCTCTATTCTTCCCTCACCTCTCTTCTCATCTCTCACCTTTTCATTCCACTACTATCCACTCCTTTATTCACTTCATTCTTCTCCATTTCTCTTTCCATTTCAGTCCTCTCCTTTCCTCTTTTGCTACCCTCCTATGTTGCTATTTTCTTCTCTGTCCTCTCCTCTTTTCTTCTCCACATCTCTTTTTCTTCTGTCATCTCATTTCCTCTGCTCTCTTCTCTAGCCTTTCCTCTCATTGCTGCTTTTCTCTCCTCTCTCATTTCCATCTATTCTTTCTTCTCTCTTTTGCTCTCTTCTCTGTCCACCTCTTTTCTATGGTCTCCTCTCCTTTGCTCTCTTCTGTAACCTATCCTCTCTTCTCCTTTTTTCTCTATCCCCATCTCTCCTCTCCCCTCCCTTCCTCTTCTCTATCCTTTTCTCTTTGCTCCGCTTTGCTCTGTTTTCCTCTTTGTGTCAAACATGCAGTCTATCAAGCTCATTTTTACCTATTTACCTAGGCACAGTAAGCAGCTCATTGGCAACAGAATTCATTAAAAATAGCCAATGACCCTCGAAAAAAAAAAACTTATCAAACTTGATCTTGTGGCTAATACCAAACATCTTTCTAATTTTATGAAATCATTTTTATTTCTAATATATCTACATCGGTTACCTGTTTGTTTACTAATTTACCGGTACAAAAGTATGGGACGTTTTGTTATGAAGGAGATGTAACATGATGTCTAGCAAAGCGGATGTTCCTTAAAAGGGCTTCATGGCATAAGGAGGCCTCTTTCTCTGCTTCAAACACACTTTCAACCTCTGCCTCACTTCGACAAACCTGCAAGACATTAATTAATAACTAATACAAGTTCCATCTTGCTTGTTGAGCTGCTCATCCAAAAACACTCAAAAGGTAACAAATATCCAATCTTATATAATTTTTCATATACATTATTTTCTATGGAAGACCACATAAAATAGAATTCTTTGGCATAAAAGTTCCCTATACTATATTTATCAAGTTCAATAAACTGCCTCTTACTAAATGCATCAAGCCCAAAAAACATTTGATTTATAAACTCACCTCAAATTTAACCCACTTATACTTTGAGCATTTTCTTGCACCTGGGCAGGCCTGCAGCACATTCTGGACACTGGGATGAGTTAGGCCGAAAAACCGACAACCTCGTTCCTCACTGTCTGATCCCTCTGGCCTGTTTGATTTATCATAACATGAAATGAGGGTTCATATTACAATATACAGAGAGAGATTTCAGGAAAATTACAATATTCTATCCCTTAATCTCTATTTTTCAATATTTCTTTCTCCTCAAAACAATAACAATTACATGATACATTAGCTAAAAATAAAATAAAAATAAGATAGGATCTCACATGCATTACTTATCACTGAATCAACACTAACATTAACCTAGTCTCAGGATTCAGCAATGCCATGCAAAACCATACTTAAAGACTGTCCTTTTGAGCTTACACAGTCGGAAATAACTTTTGATTTACAATCACTTTTTCCGTTCCCTGAATTTCCAGCAAACCAGCACAAACAATATTTCACACTACTGCAGCATAATGAAATGCCTCACACATGTACTTTCAGTGATAAAGCACCTACCTAATAGTAAGAAGGTCCATATTGAGTGTAGAGTTGATGGTGTGGAGGATGTGATTGTGGCATTCTGCAGGAGACATGCCAACCACTACAGACTCCTCCTCATCTTCACACACAACCTCAAACCTAGGTTATAAGGAACTTGATAAATGAATATGACAAATACTTCTATTGTAACCTACATGAATCATAAATATGTGGATCAGATATTGCATGTGATACAGCAACATACAATAATTATTCAATATCACCCATGAAAATGGAAAAAAATTACCAGCTGCTTGATGATGATGATGAAAGTGATAATTGATGATGACAATCATGATTGAGGTGAGTGGAAATGATGACATGGTATTGCAGAGGACTGATGATGATGATAAATAGTAACTGTTAATGATGAAGTTAATGAAAAGGTGATAATGATAATCATGATGACTTTGGTATAATGACATTAATGCTAAAAACAGTGACAAGGAGAACTAAGAATAATGGATAACAGAGAAGAGAGACTAAGGGGTGCAGGAGAAAACGGTAAATTATTCAGCAACAAAAGAGGCCCCAAGTAAGAGAATGACCTAATATCCAAACCCACTGCCTCCATCAGATATTGAACTGGGTCTTGCATGCCAACCTAAGCATGACCACCATTAGTTTCACCTTGGAATGGGTCCACCATCCACAATTTTGCAAGTGTAAAGGACTGGCTTGAGAGGATCTCGAAGACTTGCAAACATTCTTGATGAACAAAAGCCAACAGGGAAAATACAGTGCTCATTGTGATATGCCTCACGTTCACTGACAATCTGCAAAAAAGAAATTAAATTCATGTTCAAATTTACACTTATTAGCATCCTTATCTCCATATAAACACAAAAGCAATTATCAGTGGGTTGAGTAAAAAAATCACTATGCCAGGAAATACCATTCAATAACTTTAGAAGCAGCAAGTAGTCATTGTTTCACAAAAAAAAAGAAAGTAAAATGCATTTGCCAACGCAGTATTTAATACTCTTCTTTCTACATCTGTCTGATGTGAAAAAGTATAATGAGCATCTTACCTCTCCAAGACTATGTATGGTAAGGGGGCCAAGCGTTATGGGAAATATGGGGCGGCCGGCAGAGTCTAGGGTGATGGGTGGGCACAGTCGCTTTGGTTTATTGCTTCCACTCTTTCTGGCCTTTATAGCTTTGTCTGATGTTCCTGATGATGCTGAAGAATTAGTGTTATTTCCTGTAGGAGAGAAAATGTTCTGACTGTAATTCACTTACATCAGGGATGTCAAACTCAAAATCCTTTGAGGGCCAATTTTCATTTCAGCTATCATCTTGAGGGCCAACAAACCTCACTTCCCAGGATTAAAGTATTAAAATATTCTGATACTACATACCTGCACATAAAAGTTAATTTTGAAATGGTGACATTGATAGTAAAAAATTGCATACATATATATAAATGCATTAGACATGGACTCCTACAGTTTATTGCCAAATTTATCTTAGTGTCTATAAATAACAGGCCAGTTTATCAAAAAAGCAAATAAAAATTAATACATTTTGGACTGCAAATGAAAATTCATATATTTGGATACCCATATACAAAGAAATCAATGCATATCTATCTATCTATCAGACAGATATGCATATCTAGCCTATTTTCATTTTCTGGATATGTATGTCCAAATGTACAAATGTTCTTTGGGTAAGGGCTCTGTCCGATTCAAAACAAACCTTTTGAAAACGTCTACTTTATCAAGACACCATAACCATGTAGAGCAAAAACTATGCATCTTCCCTTTATAACAGCAAAATTCTCAGCAATAGCAATATATATGACATTACCATCATGGGAGAAGGGTTATTTATGAAATTTCAGTATCCTAATCATATGGGCTAATAATTATTCTTGTCACGCTACATGCCATTCATGATTCTCCTAAGGGCCACATTTATTCAGCACAGTATGAGTTTGACACTCCTGACTTAAGTAGTAACTTTTACTGTTACATATAAATCACAAAAGATGACTTAGGAGTATGATATTTCATCATAAGCTCTTTATATTTATTTCTATAATTCATAAAATTTTCTTTCCTGCAGATGTTACATAAAATACTTAGGCACAACAGTATTCATTTTAGAGACTACCATGTCCTGATAATAAAATAAACAATAAATGATAATAAAAGTAATAAAAAATAGTAATCATAAAAATGATAATAAAAAATAATAAAAATAGTAATCATAACAATAATAAAAAAATAATAATCAATAATAAAAAATAATACTGATAACAATAATGGTAATAAAAATAATAACAATAATGATAATGATAATAATGATAAAGTATGTATGCATATATGTGCTTCATTCTCACCATGGTTAGAATCAGAAGGTTTACGCTTCAAAGTTGTCTGTTTAGGCTTCTTTCCGTCCCAGTTATCAATACTGCCACTTCCTAAAACAAGGTAGCTGTTGTTCTGTTCAAAAATGAAAGAGGATAATTAAACTGTTCATTCGAGAATATACACCCAACTGCCATCTATTTGGGAAAATCCCATGAAACTCATAAACTAATTTTTTTTTTTGTTCCATTCAAGCCATCAC